CAGGCGGGTCCCACTGTCAGCTAAGTGAGGGTGCGTCTCAGCCAAGGGCCGGCAAGTGGGTGCTGTGCTCAGACCCAGGAGGCTTTAAAATAGAACTGCAAGGCAGCTGGACAGCAAGGTTGCAAAACATGGTGAAACCACAGGAGAGAGAATGCAGAAGTGGCAGCTCTGATGTCCATCCAGACGTCCTGCCTGTGGCACCGCAGTGAGCGCCACGCGTGTGTCACTGTCACCCTACCAGTCAGCCCACGTGACCTGAGCCAAGAGGGGGGCTTTGCTGGAAACAGGATCTTCCAAACTACAAAATGTTTCTGCTAACATGTGCAAGACATTGATTTTCTTCCTCTTCTATATGCAAATAACAGTATGCATCCATTTTTTTGTGCAGTCTGTTCACATGTATAATAAATCATCTGAGGAAGAGATGCATACTTGATTCAAAGGTGTCTTTCTCTCCCATGTTTTAAAACAATTTTCCGACCCCGGCATGTTTCCTCAGATCAAGTCGAGTGGGGAAGGAGAACGGGGCTGCTGGGGTCAGTAGGCAGAAAATTCATAATTCAAAACCAAACGCCACCTTCCGCCCAGCTGTACTACTGAAGAAATTCAACTGTTTTAAGACACAAAATTTCCAGCCTCAAAAGCAGCACTGGTCTCTTCTGCAATTACCTCAAAAGAAGGGCTGCAACAGCAGAGAAACAAAAATCAAGGGTCTTCCCAACACAGAGGGGTTTCTCTGCCTCCTGAATGCCGCCCCCCTCCCCAGCCTTCCTACCGCTGCCCCAAGGGCCGGATCAGCCCCTTCCCCACCTGGGGCGCTCCCAGGCCACACTCTCGCCTGCCACGCCCCCTCTTAATTCCTTTCAACTCGGATCCTGTCGTGCTCCTGCTTACATCTGTGCTGGCTGCCTCTACAAACAGCTGTGGTTTTCAAACCATGTTCCGTGGAACCCCAGGGTACCCCACGACAGCAAGAGAGAGCAGCCCTGCCTTTATTTTATGAACTGGGGCTCCTCTTGAGATTTCTATAAAAAACTACACAGAAGTAGTGGGAAAATGGAAATGTTCCCCAGCTGTCAAGGCCGGACAGCCAGCAACCAGGTGAGGCCGAGGGAGCCAGACTCACGGCTGTGGGACACATGCTGGGATGGGGAGGGTCCTCCTCTGTCTGGGATCCGGGAGCCAGTGGGCTACTAACCCCTGATGTTTCTCTGTGACTGTGGTGGCTCCTCATCTTTCAGACAGAATCCAGCATGTGTCTGGGACACGAGGGAAGCTGGCAGTTGCCTGGCCCAGGGTGTTCTTTCTAGGACACAGCCAACCTTGGCTGGCAGTCTCTGGCACTGGGGGGTGGGGCGGTCAGACCACAGAGAGGGTGCCACCAACCTCGCAACCAGGCTGGCGGCTCCCCATCAACCAGGACATCGGGACAGCTCCCTGCCCCAGAAGCAGAGGGAGATGGAGCCCACATGCAGGCCAGCCAGCCAGGTGCGAAGGCCTCCCCGTGCACCGCAGGGGAGGATGGGCCCCCCGCGGCCCCTGCTGCCCCGGACCCGGCCAGCAGTGCGGCCACCCGGCCTGCGCAGTCCTGTCTGGACCAACCGACGAGTGACTGCCAAGCCTCCCATCAGGTGCCCAGCGCTGACTTAAGCACTTGGCAAAGTGACACCACTGTGTATCAGGCCAGCGGGCGCTCAGCCCCTGAATGCCAGAGAGGATGGAGCCCCTGCAGCCGCCTCGCCTCACCCTGACCATCCTGCGCATACACGCCACCACGGCCACCTCCTCGGGCCACCTCCTTCAGACTCTTCCTGGGGCAGAGGGGGCTGCAGACAACGACCATCACCGGGCTCCCCACACCACTTGTGAAAGTGCCTTTTCTTCCTTCCTTGTCCTTCCCCTGATCCAGTAAGGACCCTGGCCTCCCACATCCCCTTCCAGGTGTAGGGGTGCACCTAGGCACCCACCAGGGTTCCAGGAAGCTTCCTAGTGGTTCTGGAGCAGCCAGATGGCCTCCCAGTCCAGGTGTACCCCTCCAGGGGCTCCAGACTGTCTGCGGCCCTGGGCCAGACTGCAACCAGTGTTGCTCCTCTCTGGCATCCAGCCTGAGGTCAAGGTCGTGACCTTGGGCACCACCTTACTTACATCCCAGCCCCCAGTTTCTACCTAGGAAGACTGCCACTAGGGCTGAAAGCATCAGCCTTGCTGTCTTCCTCCTCACCCTGTGATTCCACGATTCCCAGGAAGCTGGCATCAGATCCAAGGCTTTCCTGCAGAGGCACCAATTCCGAAAGTGGGGATGGAACTTACAGAAGGCGAGCTTTCTTCTCAGGGAACCAGAATCCTGGTTCCTTCATCCAGCTACCACCGGGTCCTCTCCAGACGTGTGGGAAATCTGTCTTGGCCAAGGAAGCCCTCAGCTGGCTCTTGGCCTCGATGGGACAAAGGCAGGGAGCAGTGCCTTCACCAAGCCTCAGCGTATCTTCTCCACCACCAGAGAAACAGCCGCACAGTCCAGAACCCCCACGGCCCATGGCCGCCCGGAGCGCACCGGGGGGGCCTGCCTTCCAGCCCACCCCAGGCTCAGTCCCCACAAACGACCCAGACGCGTCCCGCCCAGGCTCCATCGCCAGCATCCGTCATACTGGAAGGGGGCCTCAGCCTCGCTTACACAGCCTCATAAATGCTCACCATGGCCTCAGACCCAGTGGTCCTTCTAAGTCATTCGCTTGTATTAACCATTTTAAGTTAACAAGTGTTTACCTTCCAGAGAAAAGCCTAAGATTACCATATCTGAGCAGAAAAGTCCAGTATAATGGGTCCTCCGTACCTGCGGATGCAAAACCTGGGGTTACGGAGGACCGACTGTATTCATGCTACAAATGCCATTTTATATAAGAGACTTGAGCGTCCATGGATTCTGGTATCCATGGGAGCTCCTGGAACCAATCCCCCGGATACCGAGAGACGACTGTGTTTTCAGACGACTTTCCTGACAGCACACCCCAGGAGAGGATTCTTAAATCTCACGACTGTCTTCAGAGCAGCAGGAGATGATCCATCGATCCCACTTCTGCCCATTTATCTGAAGGAAACAGAATCACTAATTCAAAAAGATATCTACACCCCATGTTCACAGCAGCATTACTTACAATAGCCAAGATATGCATCATGCTAAGTGAAGTAAGTCAGACAAATACTGTATGATCTCACTTAATCATGGAATCTTAAAAGAAAAATAAAAAAGGAAAGAAACAAACAAAACTCAGAGATTGGTGGTAACCAGAGGTAGGGAGTGGGAAAACCAGGTGATAGGGGTCAAAAGGCACAAACTTTCAGTTATAAGTATCACCAGGATGTAACGTACAGCATGGTGACTATAGTTAATAATACTGCATTGCGTATTTGGAGGTCGCTAAGAGATCTTCTAAGTCCTCAACACAAGAAAAAATGTTGTAGGTGTGGTGATGGATGTTAAATGGACTTACTGTGGTCACTTCACAATATGTCAAATCAGGGATCACTTTCATTTTTACAATTTATTAAGTGGAACCGCACCTAAATGTTCTTTTAATTTGCATTCCTTTTATTCCTACTCAGATTGAACACATTTTTATACAATAACCCATTTTTTTTTCTTATGTGACTTGCCAGCTTGGTTTGTTTTTCCTGTTATTTTGTCCTTTGAAATCTTGGTATTTTCCTCATCCATATCCACAGGCACTCACTACACCCTCTGATGTTAAAGACACTGTATAGCACAGGGAACTATGTTCGCTATCTTGAAATAACCTTTAATGAAAAAGAATACAAAAATGAATGCATGTATGTATATGCATGACTGGGACATTGTGCGGCACACCAGAAACTGACACATTGTAACTGACTGTATTTCAATTAAAAAATAATGCTAATAAAATAAAACTGTGTGAAAATTACAAATTTTCAAAAAACTTTTCCTAGGTCAGACTATTTGCCTTCAAACCACTGACTTTTTTTTCTTTGAAACCTCAGTTTTAAATGTGTACCGTATCAACTTTTCAGCCTTTTTTCCCTTTAGAATTTCCTCTTTCACTTATAAATTTACCAAGGAGGAAGACGTCTACAAGCCCCAGCCAGGGAAGGAAGCAGTTTCTAACCCACAGCCCCCGTCTGAGCAAAGTGCTGGCCCTCTGTCAGAAAGCAAACAACTGCCCATCTGAGACACAGCTCTGAGGTAATCCCAAAGAATTAACTTAAAGGTTAATACTGAGATCCATAGACAGTTCAGGAACGGACTGATGTCAGGGATTCTTTTGTTGAACCTCAGATGCATGATAGAGCCTGGTCCTGGCCCCTTCTCACCTTGCTAAGTTTAATGGTGAAGCAAAGACGGATGAACCACCACCCACAGCAAAAGCTAGGGTCCTGCCCATGCAGACAGTGAATCCCACCCCAGCACTGATCCCCTGCCTGCTTCTGTATAAGTTGCATCTCACTTCTACACATTCTCAAAAGGCACTTTTAAACTCAGTCTTTATAAAAGGGATATCATGCTATCTATAACCATCTGACTAACTCCTTGCACTGCTGTTAACGCCACTGAGAGGCGTCCACAGTGTCACGTGCTGCTCTGAAGCGCTCTTTTTACAGCTGTATACCATGCCACTGCCGAATGGACCAGTCTGCGCACCATCTCCAGAGGCGGTTTACAGGATCTTTGTTATTGCAAACCTTGAGGAAAATTCTTGCATATTAACATGTGCAATGGGGTCTCCAGGACAGGGATCAGCACTTTTTCTATAAAGGATCAGAGTTGGTAACTGTTCTGTGGGCACGTAAGGGAATAATATTCTCCTTAGGAAATACACACTGAAGGGTTAAGCGATAAAGGGCCCCAAATGGATGGGGAAAAGTTTTGCCATGTGTTCTGTGCACTATTTTTATTTTTGCAGTTTTTGTAAGGTTGGAATTATTTACGAAGAGTGAAAAATGGAACATTCCCCTAGAAACTTTTTCTGAACATAAGGGGAAAGGAATTAAAAACGCTGAAAACAGACCTAAGTTCTTGACTGCAGATGTGCTTCAGTGGCTCCTCGCTGCTCTGACCCAGGGCAGGTTACACGCCTGCATCCACATCACAGTAAAATGCATCTTTCCAACCAGAGCAACTGCCTTGGAAACCCCTGTCTGCCGACAGGAAGGTTTTGCCCAGAGTCCTGCACTCCCAGGAGAAAACTTCTGACAGACACACCGAAGATGTGGGCTTGGGGACCACGTATCTTCAGGCAAGTCAGCCCTCAGTAGTGATCGTTTTAGTTCTATAATCAAATGTTTCAGACCACTGCAGAGAGGGGGGCTTTGTGTAAAATATATACACTCCAAATGTTTAGCTTCAATAACTTTACAATTTTACACTTTCCAAACTTTTAGGATCTGAAGAAATCAGCGTATAGAAAATAATGAGAAACCTTAAAAATGCAAAACCATTTCCACTTCTGGCTCAGAAAAAAGCAGCAGCACTCCGACAGCATTTATATTTTTAGGTAGAACCCCTCTCTCTCGGAGATTCGTACTGAGGCGTTTATGATGGAGATGAGACGCTGCCCCTGGGACTGGCTTCCCAACAGCACAGCCTGGGCAGGGGTTACGGGGAACTGAGACCTGTTGAGGGTTCATAATGCTACTTTCTGTGCCTCTGCACAGTAGGAATTGCCCACAATGAACAAAGCTGCTAAGGTGAGTAGAGGCAGACCTCGGAGATGTCGTGGGTTCTGTTCCAGCCTCCCCGCAACAAAGCAAATATTGCAATAAAAGTCACACAAATTCTCCGGTTTCCCAGGGCATATAAAGTTATAAAGTTTACACTGTACTGTAGTCTATTAAGTGGTCAATAGCATTCATTGTGTCTTAAAAAACAATGTACACATCAGAAATTGACACAACATTGTAAACTGACTAGACTTCAATAAAACAGTGGCTGATACACAAAAGAGCTTAATAACTATTAGCTTGTTTTCAGTATCATTCTCAACTATGTGGTTGATTGATTCATGCTGCTTCTGCCCCAAATGTCCCACATCCCTTTTGCCACCATTCCAACTCTGCCAGGCTTTTAAGCAAATCGTAGACTATTTTTATTTAATGGTGTGCACAAGAAATTCAGGACTATTTCTGATAATGGTATTTATCAAGGCTGGAAATTCACTGTGCTTTAGTATTGCTTGTGCGTTGGAAATAATGTGTGGGGTTGCCCTGCAACAGCAGAGAGAACAGGCCAAGAGTCCCAAAGGAATGTCAACTAGGAGTATCTGATGACAATACTTCGGGGGAAATAAAAAGGGTGTCGGAAATGGGTTTTGAAAAACATATCATTGTGATAATGTAAAAACAGCTTAAAATTACTTGGTATTAAGAGTATAAATAATGGTTATTGTCGCCTCGAAAAAACCCCAAAACAATGTACATACCTAAACTAAAAAATACATTGTTGCTGGAAAATGCCCGTCACTTACTCCAGCCCCCTTGTTTATAACGTGCTTTCTCTTGAGAAACTAAGATGCACGTTCAGGTGTGAATGTGGATATGCAAACGCACATGTAAACATACGCACACATGTGTCTACATTTTATCATCTGAGCCGGCAGAACCTGATACTCTTTTTGCAACAGTAACATCAAAGATCTCTGATCACCCTAACAAATATAAAAACAACGAAAAAGTTAAAAATACCGCAAGAACTACCAAAATGGGACACAGACACATGAGTGAGCAAATGCTGAAGGAAAAATGGCACCAACAGACTTGCTTGATGCAGGGTTCCCATCAACCTTCAGTTTATTTAAAAAAAAAAAAAGCATCATCTCCAAAGCACAATAAAGTGGAGAAAAATTAAACAAGGTGTGCCTGTATTTTATTCAGAGAATCACAAAAGCCTCCAAGCGGCACCCCAGGATGCCCTGGGAGTTGGGGTACCGGCTGGCTGCAACTAAAACAGACACTCCAGAGACTTAGCACAAACGCTGACTCTCATACCTTGCCCCGCCTCAGTGGAGCTGGGGTGCTCGGGGCACCTGCATTTGTAACGTCCAGCCCACCCCTCCTGAATGTGGAGTCCCTGGCCCACACTTTAAGAAAATGCTTAGGGCAGTTGTCTCCAACGTCATGTGTACCATGTAATCCGTTAGAATGACAGAAGAAAACCCTGGAGCATCTGTATTTTTTACAGGAAGAGGAGGAATGAAGCCTCCCTGACAGCTACCTGCCTGCCCCTGCCTCCTCGCCTGGTCCTCAAGGCTCCCAGGGCTCCCGGGCACCCTGTCCCTGTAACTAAAAGAACTGCCAGGGACCTCAGGGTGTGACTGTATTTAGAGACGAGTCTTTACAGAGGTAATTAAAGTAAAATGAGGTCATAGGGTGGGTCCTAGTCCAATGTGGCTGGTGTCCTTATAAAAAGGGACATAGACAGGCAGGGAGGGAAGAACATGTGAAGACACAGGGAGAAGGTGCCATCTACACACCAAGGAGAGAGGACTCAGAAAAAACCAGCCCTGCTGACACCTTGATCTTGGACTTCCTGGCTTCAGACCTGAGGTACCTTGGTACAGAACCCCTAGCAAACTAATACACAAACCTTGAAAAAGGGTTCATTCCTGCAAATGTGCCGGGGATGGAAGGCAGGAGGACCCACAGCCCCAGGCAAGCGCAGCCCCCACTGCAGTTCCCCAGCCTGGCTCCCAGGTGCCGCGTGGGGACTTCTACACCTGGCATGCGGACACGACCACCGCCCGGCAAACACAGTGCTGCCTTCTACATCTTTTCAAGACCTCTAGCTGTCATGAACTGTGCACACCTCATGATCTACGCAGCACGTCTGGACAGAGATACCAACTGGGGCACGTGCACAGAGACGCTTTAGGGATGGAGTAAGCAGTGTACGAAGACTGGGAGGTGAAATCCTGTGATTCTCAAAATCACCTGTCTTTTTTTTTGCAGGTTGAGCTAATAAAGAAACATAAAAAAATGAAAGGAGAAATCCTGAATAAGTGTGCGTAAATTATTTAAACTTTTTCAAGCAACCTGAGGTACCTGGAAGCCTCTACTTGGACATGTGGCCAGGGCTGTGGAAGGAAGGGCGGGCGCCCCCCAGCACCCCTTCCTGGGAGCTGCCGGCTGAAGGGGCAGAAGGCTGAGAACAGGGCTGGGGCTGCCATCCTCAGGGAACTGACGGTTCCAAGGCCGGGAGAGCTGTGCAGGGGTGTGAGGACGGCCTGGCCTGGCGGGCTGGGGGACCTGGGACGGATGATGTCTATGTCCACTGCTGTGGCCAGCAGGCCAGGGCAGGACCTTCTGGGAGAGCCGGCGGGGCTGTCCAGCAGGACGTCCATCCCAGTCGCTCTAAACCAACTCACAAGCTCCCAAGGCACAGAGTTCTAAGTACATTCAAATACATACTCTTGCAGGGGGACAGCTCAAGTGGTAGAGCACACGCTTAGCATGCATGAGGTCCTGGGTTCAAGCCCCAGTACCTCCATTAAGAAGAATAATTAAGTAAATAAATCTAATTACCACCCGCCCCAACCCACTACACAACCTTGGCTCACTCTGCAGAAATGCACCTGACCTACGTACAAAGGGAATTCAGTGGGAATTTAAGCCTTTCACTCTCGGAGTCCATAGGAAGCCGTGTCTTCGCACACACTCCGCCCAGCCTGTGGGCACCCCCAGGTTGACTGTGGCCGGATAACACAGCACATTTCTCCTCCTGCCTTGACCCTGAGGCAGAATCAGGTCAACTGAGGGCTCAAGAAGCTTCTCGTGAGCCTTTCCAGAACCACAGTTAAGCCCAGACAATCTGTGAGGTTGTGCCCCGGAGCCCAGGCGATACACAGACAACCTGGCATGGGTCACACGGAAGTGCAGGGCAGGATTCACGTCTTCGCTGGCAGCCACCCCAGACCCGGGCCATCCTGGCAGAGGTGTCCCCAGAGAGAACACGCCCCGCTCTGTCCGCCTCTGGTGGATGCGGGGCCTGTGTGGCCACTGAGAGGGTCACAGCCTCTCACAGCTTGTGGTCAAGGTCTGACAGTAAGGATGTGTTCCCTTTTCCTGGTGGAGGGAGGGTGGGCCCCTCACTCAGCTGGCAGTTCCAGAAGGCAGGGACCCCCTCCACTTCTGCCCTTTGTACGGGGCTTACCCTGAAGTACGCACTCAGCCAACCTTTGCTGGAGGAGACAATGACCTAAAATGCAAATTATTAAAATACAACATAAAAATGACCCACCGTGATGATTAATTTTATGTGTCACCTTGGCTACTATGGTATGATCCAGGTTTCAGTCAAGCATCAATGTAGAGGTTGCTGCACAGGTGGTTCTTTGATGTGATTTACATTTAAATGGGCAGACTCTGAGTAGCAGATGAGCTTCCGGAACGTGGATGGGCCTTACCCTAACAGTTGAGGGCCTGACGAGAAACGAGCAAGTTCCCCTAAAGAGGAAAGAATTCTGCCTCTGGACGGACTTTGGACTACAGCTGCAACATCAGCTCTTCCTGGGTCTCAGCCTGCCTACTCTGAATCCAGAATCGCCAGCCTCCATGATCACATGAGCCAACTCCCTAAAATAAATCTCTCTATATATACAATACCCTATGGGTTCTGTTTCTCTGGAGAATCCTGACTAATATACACCCCCCCACCCTATCAAAGCAAAGGGAAAAGCACAGCTTGTGTGTACAAAACCATCAGTACGGTCTCCAGGGCACGAGCAAAGCCCACCCTCCAGAGTCTGTGTTATCACCCACACGTACAGCTCTGCTTGATTTAACACACTTGGTTATGCCATGATCCCTGGGGGTAGGCAACTCCAAAAAGCCAAGTCCAGGTAGTTTTAAAGCTCACTGGTTTTGTGGAGACCAATTCTTCCAGGCAGGATTTGTGGGAAAAGAAGAAAATTGTGGAACAGCTTGAGTCATGGATTTAAATATGACACAACTATATACAATAGCCAAGACATGGAAGCAACCTAAATGTCCATCAACAGATGATTGGGTAAAGAAGATGTGGTATAGTTATACAATGGAATACTACTCAGCCATAAAAAAGAATAAAATAATGCCTCTGGCAGCAACAATGGGTGGCCCTGGAGATTGTCATTCTAAGTGAAGTAAGCCAGAAAGAGAAACAGAAAGAGAAATACCATATGATAGCACTCACATGTGGAATCTAAAAGAAAAGAAAAAAAGAGGACACTAATGAACTCATCTACAAGACAGACACAGACTCACAGACATAGTTAACAATCTTATGGTTACTGGTGGGGTGGGGAGGGGGAAAGGGATAAATTTGGGAGTTTGAGATTTGCAAATGATAACCATTACATATAAAAATAGATTTAGAAAAACAAATTTCTCTATAGCACAGGGAGCCATATTCAATATCTTACAATAACCTTCAAAGAAAAATAATATGAAAACGAATATATGTATATATATGCATGACTGGGACACTGTGCTGCACACCAGAAACTGACACGTTGTAACTGACTATGCGTCAATTTTAAAAAATAAATAAATAAAATAAAAGGCAAATAAATAAATAAATATGATGCAAATCCTCATCACCACTTCTGACTCGGGGCTATGTTGTTCTTCAGAGTAAAGTGCACCTTCTTCTGTGAGTATCTTCAAGGATGAATCATTGCCCATCACCACTGTCCTGGCCAGGACAATACAAGCACAAGGATGACCATACTGGCTCTCGGCATAAAATCTTTCTATGAAATCAGGTTCCCAGATGGAAGTCACTGCTCTCTAAGCACTGGCTTTTCTCCCCCGAGGAGCAAAATTCCCCCAAGGGAGAGTGAAAATTGGAGCCTGACAAGCTTGGCTAGTGGAGTATCTGACATATAAATACAAATCACAGGGGAGAAGGTAGCACTCAGGGGTACAGTGCATGCCTAGCATGCACGAGGTCCTGAGTTCAATTCCCAGCACCTCCATGAAATAAGTTAAACCTAATTACCTCCCCCTTCCTCCCCAAAAAAGTAAAAAAATAAATAAATACAAATGACAAATATGCTTGTTTCAAACTCATGGTAGCTATCACTGTCTACCTGTCTTACAACTAGTTCAAGGCGGATGATTTCTGTCCCCACAGCCTTGCATGGAGGTGAGACAAGTGGATGAAGCTGGATGGGGGCACAGCCGGGTCAATGAATGCTCAACAGCACAAGTGCACACCAGACTCAAACCAACACACGTGAAAAACACATCCTATGTTCTTGAGACCACACTCTGAGAGGCCTGTAACACAAAAAACTCATATAAATGAAAATCTTATCCCTGGGGTGCTCTGAAATTCTATTAGCTAACCTGAATCAGGCCAGAGGTGTCATGGTTAAGCCCCACTCATGTCTCTATGGGCTCCTACAGAGCTGCTGTGCCTAAGCCCCACACTTATGGCCAAAGGGTCTCTAGACAGAAAACATAAAGAGAACAAATAAGAAAATGGCAGGTGTAAATCCTGTCATAAAGGTATCTGCATTAAGTGTAAATGGACTAGACAATCAAAAGGCAGGCACTGATAGAATGGATTAAAAAAAACATGAACCAATTATACGCTATCTATGAAAGACACATGTTAAATTCAGAGATACAAACAGAGTGAAACTAAAAGGATGGAAAAAGACATACTATGCAAAGAGAAACCAAAAGTGGGCAGAAGTAGCAATACTAATATTGGGCAAATATTAGACAAATTAGACTTGAAAAAAAATTGTTAC